CTGTGGGGCAGTGTGGGCAGTGTGGGCACTGTGGGGCAGTGTGGGCACTGTGGGGCAGTGTGGGGACTGTGGGGCACTGTGGGCACTGTGGGGCACTGTAGGGCACTGTGGGGCACTGTGGGGCACGATGGCCATCTTTCAGTGTGTTTTAGCGAGAGCCACCGTCGGCATCCCTTGCAAAGTGAGATTCCGAACATCGGAATTTAAGAAAGGGGTCCGGATGAAAGTTGTAAGGAAGGGGAAATAGAATACAAAAAAAAAGAATTACAAAAACGGACAGAAATTGGTGATACTTTCTTGATATCTGTACTACAGCGCAGACGCTGTCCCAACATCCTTTTCTACAACGGTGGGCAAGGAATTTAGGGATAGGGACAGAGTAGCGTAGGTAGAGAAGGCGTAAAGCAGTAAAAAAGTGTTTGTTCGTTGTCAGTCTCATTTGCTGTGGGGCATTGTGGGCACTAGTTGGGCAGTGTTTTGGCACTGTGGTTCAGTGTGGCATGTGTTGGGCAGTGGTGGGCTGTGGGCACTGTGGCTGTGGGCACTGTGTGCGTGTGACTCTGGGCACTGTGGGTAGTGTGGCACTGTGGGCAGTGTGGGGCAGTGTGGGCACTGTGGGCAGTGTGTGCCTGTGGGCGTGTGCATGTGGGGGTGTGGATGTGGGCACTGTGGCCTGTGGGGCATGTATTGGCACTGTAGGACTGTGGGGCACGTGGGGTGATGCATCTTTCAGTGGTGTATGTTAGCTCAGCTGCACCGTCGCCTCCCTTGCAAAGTTGGTTTGTAATCTGCATGTTTTTGAAAGGGAGTCGTGACCTTGTATCTGGAAATTGTGTTCAAGCTGAGCGATTGCTTGCTTTCTTATTGTCTTCCGGATCTTCACAGCCGAATGTTAGTGCCACGCTTGCTGCTTACTTCGTGGTTTGTGTTTTTTGTGTGTTTGTAGTGTGTTTCTTGTGGCTTCAGTGAGTGTGTTTGTTTGATGTGCTTCAGTGTGTTGCTGTGCTTCAGTGAGTGTGTTTGTTGATGTGCTTCAGTGTGTTGCTGTGCTTCAGTGAGTGTGTTTGTTGACGTGCTTCAGTGTTGCTGTCTTCAGTGAAGTGTGTTTGTTGACGTGCTTCAGTGTGTTGCTGTCTTCAGTGATTGTTTCTGTTGTGCTTCAGTGAGTGTGTTTGTTGATGTGCTTCAGTGTATTGCTGTGCTTCAGTAAGTGTGTTTGTTGCTGTGCTTCAGTAAGTGTGTTTGTTGATGTGCTTCAGTAAGTGTGTTTGTTGCTGTGCTTCAGTAAGTGTGTTTGTTGTGCTTCAGTAAGTGTGTTGTGCTTCAGTAAGTGTGTTGTTGTGCTTCAGTAAGTTTTTGTTGCTGTGCTTCAGTAAGTGTGTTTGTTGCCGTGCTTCAGTGTGTTACTGTGCTTCAGTGTTCCTTTTTTTGCTGTGCTGCAGTGAGTGTGTTGTTTGGTAGTTTTGTGTTAGTGTATTTGTGTTTAAATTGGTGGGATTAGTGTTGAAGAGTTTGCTGGGTTTTAGTGTCTTGTGCTCCCTTCTGGGTTTTAGTGAACGTATTTGTGTTTAATGAGTTTGTATTGTTTATTGGTGTGTGTTTGTTTATTTGTGTGTGTGTGTGTGTGTGCGTGTGTGTGGTGTGTGTGTGTGTGTGTGTGTGTGTGTGTGTGTGATGTAGTTGTGTTTGTGTGACTCACCTAGTTGAGGTTGCGGGGGTCGAGTACGAGCTCCTGGCCCCGCCTCTTCACTGATCGCTACTAGGTCACTCTCCCTGAACCGTGAGCTTTATCATACCTCTGCTTAAAGCTATGTATGGATCCTGCCTCCACTACATCGCTTCCCAAACTATTCCACTTACTGACTACTCTGTGGCTGAAGAAATACTTCCTAACATCCTGTGATTCATCTGTGTCTTCAATTTCCAACTGTGTCCCCTTGTTACTGTGTCCAATCTCTGGAACATCCTGTCTTTGTCCACCTTGTCAATTCCTCTCAGTATTTTGTATGTCGTTATCATGTCCCCCCTATCTCTCCTGTCCTCCAGTGTCGTCAGGTTGATTTCCCTTAACCTCTCCTCGTAGGACATACCTCTTAGCTCTGGGACTAGTCTTGTTGCAAACCTTTGCACTTTCTCTAGTTTCTTTACGTGCTTGGCTAGGTGTGGGTTCCAAACTGGTGCCGCATACTCCAATATGGGCCTAACGTACACGGTGTACAAGGTCCTGAACGATTCCTTATTAAGATGTCGGAATGCTGTTCTGAGGTTTGCTAGGCACCATATGCTGCAGCAGTTATTTGGTTGATGTGCGCTTCAGGAGATGTGCCTGGTGTTATACTCACCCCAAGATCTTTTTCCTTGAGTGAGGTTTGTAGTCCTGCCTAGCGTCTCTCTGGGCCCTTTGCCTCCCAATCTTCATGACTTTGCACTTGGTGGGATTGAACTCCAGGAGCCAATTGCTGGACCAGGTCTGCAGCCTGTCCAGATCCCTTTGTAGTTCTGCCTGGTCTTCGATCGAGTGAATTCTTCTCATCAACTTCACGTCATCTGCAAACAGGGACACCTCAGAGTCTATTCCTTCCGTCATGTCGTTCACAAATACCAGAAACAGCACTGGTCCTAGGACTGACCCCTGTGGGACCCCGCTGGTCACAGGTGCCCACTCTGACACCTCGCCACGTACCATGACTCGCTGCTGTCTTCCTGACACGTATTCCCTGATCCATTGTAGTGCCTTCCCTGTTATCCCTGCTTGGTCTTCCAGTTTTTGCACCAATCTCTTGTGTGGAACTGTGTCAAACGCTTTCTTGCAGTCCAAGAATATGCAATCCACCCACCCCTCTCTCTCTTGTCTTACTGCTGTCACCATGTCATAGAACTCCAGTAGGTTTGTGACACAGGATTTCCCGTCCCTGAAACCATGTTGGCTGCTGTTGATGAGATCATTCCTTTCTAGGTGTTCCACCACTCTTCTCCTGATAATCTTCTCCATGATTTTGCATACTATACATGTCAGTGACACTGGTCTGTAGTTTAGTGCTTCATGTCTGTCTCCTTTTTTAAAGATTGGGACTACATTTGCTGTCTTCCATGCCTCAGGCAATCTCCCTGTTTCGATAGTTGTATTGAATATTGTTGTTAGTGTGTGTGTGTGTGTGTGTGTGTGTGTGTGTGTGTGTGTGTGTGTGTGTGTGTGTGTGTGTGTGTGTGTGTGCGTGTGCGTGCGTGCGCGCGCTCTTGATGCTAAATTCTGGCGAGCGTTTAATGTATCTGGCTGAACGTGTTGTACACTAGCGTCCTGGTGAGCATGCGCGCCATCTACAGCCATTCACCACCACATACATTATAAAACGCTGATGAATAGATGCGTCGTTGCATCAGTGTTTACTGAGTTGTTAATCGTTACGGATTTTTTTTTTATCATACGGATTTTATTGTGTTTAACCGTCATATTTCGGCGTTGCTGGTAACATGGCTGCAAGTGTAGCCATTAATTCTGCAATAGATTAAGCTTCAAAAACAGATATTGTGTAGCAAGAAGGGTATTAAGAAGGAATTAAGATACTGTGATTTAGTCAAATTATTATTATTATTATTATTATTATTATTATTATTTATTATTATCTAATTTCTCGCTAGCTTAAAAAAGGCATTAAGGAACGTTAACAATAAGTCATTCAGGACGTTGTAATGACATAGAGTATTCAACACCTGTCTGGATCCCACGTATGATCACGTCCTAAGACTGGGAACAGGTTTGCGATCAACCTCTGGATCTGAGGGAAAAAAAATAATCTTTGAACATAGAGGGGAAGAAAATCTGAGAGGCTATGATCACTATGTGAAAAATACTAGAAAGAGAGAAAATACTAGGGAGTATAATGAAAGACAGATAGTAGATGACTGTAGAGTCCACTCCGACGTTATTCGTGAATTGTTTAGGTGTTTGAGCAGATACAAATGGAGTGTGGAAAGCATGCTAATTACTTATAATTAATTAGCACTGTATGCAAAAGAACCACGGGGGAGAGGTGAATGATAGCTCTAGTCCTTTCGTGTTGCATATCATCAGGAGCTTGCAACACTGCAGAACGTATTTGCACAATACATGCAAATACGTTCAAAGGAAGTGTCTCTGCTCGAATGTATTCGAGCAGAGACACTGTATGATGCTTACGGAATTTAATGGGTTCCCAAAACGTCCCCAAATATTTAAACGCGGCCATTTAAAACTGCGACATTGACCCCGTTATTAAAACTTGGCAATTTATCTATGACCTTAAAGCCACTACATTTAGCCCCCGTTATTTCTATCCAGCCATTTAAATGCTGTGAACGACTCCGTCAGGAGTATCTCTTATGTTAGTCATTTATACTGAGGCATTTAATTTATTTATTTAAATTGTCCCTTAATTTCTGTTGCTGACTGGTGTTCATGTATTTTTCCCCCAGTTGCTGAGGTCAACTTGAGTGTTATGAAGTTGTACAATGTTGTTCAGTGTTATTGCGTGTTAAATGGTGTTATTGTTACATAGTGTTATCCTGTTGTATTATTTTACTGTGTTATATGGTGTTATTGTGTGTTATGTAGTGTTAATGTGTGTTATGTAGTGCTAGTGTGTATTATATGGAGTAATTGTGTTATACATTATATGAGGTTCACTAGAAAGTTCAGGAGGATGAGTTCAACTAGGTGAGCGCACACATAGTAGCCTGGTTGTCTCTCTGGAGGTGTAACACCCATCAGGTTCAAGCTAATAATCAATAGCTAAGGCGAAGCAAGACACCTGAGCGGAACCCCCAATCTATGGTTTAATAATAAGTAACAAGAACTCATTAATATGTTTGTATTGAACTACGGGAAGAATCTCTCTCTCTCTCTCTCTCTCTCTCTCTCTCTCTCTCTCTCTCTCTCTCTCTCTCTCTCTCTCTCTCTCTCTCTCACACACACATAAAAGGTCTACCTAGATATTGGAGAGGTGAAAACATCACTTTCTCACCTTCATACCCGAATTCTCTATCTTGCTGGAGAGGATCCACACATTTTCCATTACTTAGGGTTATGCGATTATGGTCCCGTGATGTGATGACCGTGTGGATATGGAATCAGATGTGATGATCATCAATTTATACGCAGTCAATAGTAATAAATATTATTTATAATTTATTTTTCTCAGGTTTCAGAGACTGCCAGCACTGTAACAAAGTCTAAAGAGTCCATAGAGTTTGTTAGACATAACACCTTCTTCAAGAATCTTGTAACTTCATTTCACGATGATCACAGCATCTTTTCACAGCTTGATCTCACGGAGATGGCAGCATCATATTGAAGTGTGAAAGCCACTTCTCATACTTCTTCCTGCAACAGTGGAGCATAATAAAGCGTTATCAGCAACTGTGAATATGTCAAACTTGCTTTGCTTAAATAAATTAATTAGTATATATATATAATATATATATATATATATATATATATATATATATATATATTATATATATATATATATATATATATATATATATATATATATATATGGTACCAGCACGCAATTTCACCACAACGAACACAAATATATCAAACAAACAAGAATACGCTCGTAATGTCTGAAACAGTGCAAACAATAGAGCAGTGCCGTCAGCTGAACACAAACATACAACGACTCGGCTATACATTATACACCCCACAGTACACCAACAATCCCAGTGGCATACAACATACACCCACTCGCCGCAACCCAATACAATGCTGCGTTTATATAGCGTCGAAATGAAGTGAAAATTGGAAAAAAATCGGTTCTCCCATGTCTGTATTTCCCCCCTCTCCTCTGCCTCCATCCTTCCATTTTCCCCGCCCCCTACTTTCCCTAGTTCTCGCTTCCTTCCTTCCCCCCCTCTTCCCTCTCCCCCACCTCTCCAATGACAACATACATGTTTTCAAGGCTTCTTTTTTTCATTCACACCCAGGTAGTATACTAATTTCCCACTCCCAGTGTTCGCAAACACTGGTATATGAACCGACAGGTTAATGTCACGTGTGTATACACTTCTCGTTTACTGAGTCTTTTTTTCCTATATATAAAGTTTCCTTTAAATTAGAATAAGGGAAATTGAAACTTATGTGCAGTCGATAACTCTGAAATTAACATATACAAAATATAATAATTGATAAGTACAAGTACAGATGTTATAATTGGACACAGTATAAAGGACACAGTTAAATTGAAGATATAAGATGGACGAAGGGATACTTACTGACAGTGCTTTTCTTCAGCCACAGACAGTCACACAAGTGAATAATAGACAGCACTAGTGGAACAGCATCCAACACTAGCTTAAAGCAGAAGCTAAAAACTCACGGCTCAGGGAATCACCAGTAGCGATCAACACACCAGGACTCGACTCACCCACCACACACACTCAACTAGTGAGTACAACACAGGATACACACACACACACACACACACCCCACACACACACACACACACACCCCACGAATACATACACAAATACACGGACAGTCATACTCATTTACGTAAAAACATACGTCCACATAAACACACAATACCGAGTATGCTGTAAATACACTTAATAACCTCGGGAAACAGAGCAGCAGTGTATACTCAGACGAGTGTATTCTCCAGGCTTAGAAAAACACACACAAATACATTTACCCAACTATCCTCTTGAGCGAAGAGGACCGTGCTGCCAGAAATCCTCACAACATACAAATCATTCGAATATACTTTCATACACCATCCCCCACCTACTCTCTCTCTCTCTCTCTCTCTCTCTCACACACACACATATTAAATATGCACAATTTATTTCTTTTCTTTTATTATGCATTCCATTTGTTATTCTTCTTTTCTTCGCTCATCACTTCTTCCTCATCTCCTTCTTTCAGTACTATTCTTATATTTTTTTTCCTGTATTTCTCTGTCTTCTTCTTTCATTCCATATTCATCCTCATCTTCTTCATTCTCCTACTCTTCCTCCTTCTCTTCTCCATTTTCCTACTTTTCCTCCTCCTCATCTTCCATCTTTTCTTATTCCTCTTGCTCTTTCCCTTTCTCCTCTCCTGCTCCTCATCTTATCCTCCTCTCCTCCTCCTCCTCCTCCTCCTCATTATTCCTCCTTGCCCCTACAAACACTTCATTTCTTGAAATACGTAACATTAATATAGCCAGAAAAACAAATACTCTTAACCGTATCCCAGCACACAGAACATACACATTTATACACCCCAGTCCCTCTCTCTCTCTCTCTCTCTCTCTCTCTCTCCTTTTTTCCCTCTCCCGCTCTCCCTCTCTCCTCTTTTCTTTCCCCTTTCCCTCTTATTTTCCTTCTGCTTTATTTATCTCCCTCACCTCCCAACCTAGCTATCCTTCCATCTTCTCCCTTGAACTATCTTGCTCCTGTTCCTCGGTCCCTTCTCGCCCACCCTCTATTCTTCCTTTTTTCTTTAAATCTCTCAGTCTCCCATCCTCCGGCTCTTTCTCACTGCTCTCTCTCCTTCCCCTCTCTTGCCCCTCCCCTCCCTTCTATTTTGTACTTTCTACATCCTCTAACCTTCAATTTTTTTTCATCCATCTATCTCTTGCCCTCCAACTCCTCTTCCTCTTCGCCTTCTTATTCCCTCTCCTTCCCCCTTTCCTCTGTATTCTCCCATTCTCCCGTACTGCCTCTCTTCCTGCCTCACAGATTCCCTACCCTTAATCTCTTCTATCATTTGTTTATCCATTTATTCCTCCCCCCTCCCCTGTTCTCTTCTTCCATCCCTTCCCCCTCCTACCGTCCTTCTCTCTTTCCTCCCTCATCTTTACTTGTCTGAGAAACACGACAACAGTATTGCCAGACGAGGAGTTCTCTCCTTGCAGGTCTCTCTCTCTTTCTCTTTCTCTCTCCCTCTCTCTCTCTCTCTCTCTCTCTCTCTCGCTCTCTCTCTCTCTCTCTCTCTCTCTCTCTCTCTCTCTCTCTCTCTCTCTCTCTCTCTCTCTCTCTCTCTCTCTCTCTCTCTCTCAACGTAGCACCACAGCTCTAACTATGTTTTCCCTTAATGGTCATTTATGAATCCTTGTGTGTTATGTGTCCGTTTGTTCTTGTCGCATCCCCTGGTTGTATGTTTCTGTTTGTTTTTTGACCTTGAAGGAAGGAAAATACGATACTGGTCTATGGTGTGTGTTGTTCGTGTATATATATATATATAAAATATATAATATATATATATTATATATATATATTATATATATATATATATATATATATATATATATATATGTCGTGCCGAATAGGCAGAACTTGCGTTCTTGGCTTAAATAGCAACGCTTATCTTGCCATATAGTACAAGTGAAAATTTGTGTATGCAATAATTTCGCCAAAATTATTCTGAACCTAACGAAGAAAATATATTTCACAGTGTTTGTTTAGTATTAAATTACTGTAAACAAATCTAAAATATATTTAGTTGGGTTAGGCTAAAATAAATTATTCTTGTTATAATAAGGTTAGGTAAGTTTTCTAAGTTCCTTTTGGTGCAAAATTATAATTTTTTACATCAACATTAATGAATAAAATATATCTTTAAACGTATAAGAGAAAATTTTAGAAAGGACTTAAATTTAAATGAGTTCTTGCTAATTGACCAGTTTTACATATTCGGCACGACATATATATATATATATATATATTAATATATATATATATATATATATATATATTATATATATATATATATATATATATATTTTATAAATATTTATTTATTTATTTATTATTTTATCACACTGGCGGCTTCCCACCAAGGCAGGGTGGCCCGAAAAAGAAAAACTTTCACCATAATTCACTCCATCACTGTCTTGCCAGAAGGGTGCTTTACACTACAGTTTTTAAACTGCAACATTAACACCCCTCCTTCAGAGTGCAGGCACTGTACTTCCCATCTCCAGGACTCAAGTCCGGCCTGCCGGTGTCCCTGAACCCCTTCATAAATGTTATTTGCTCACACTCCAACAGCACGTCAAGTATTAAAAACCATTTGTCTCCATTCACTCTTATCAAACACGCTCACGCATGCCTGCTGGAAGTCCAAGCCCCTCGAACACAAAACCTCCTTTACCCCCTCCCTCCAACCTTTCCTAGGCCGACCCCTACCCCGCCTTCCTTCCACTACAGACTGATACACTCTTGAAGTCACTCTGTTTCGCTCCATTCTCTCTACATGTCCGAACCACCTCAACAACCCTTCCTCAGCCCTCTGGACAACAGTTTTGGTAATCCCGCACCTCCTCCTAACTTCCAAACTACGAATTCTCTGCATTATATTCACACCACACATTGCCCCCAGACATCACATCTCCACTGCCTCCAGCCTTCTCCTCGCTGCAACATTCATCACCCATGCTTCACACCCATATAAGAGCGTTGGTAAAACTATACTCTCATACATTCCCCTCTTTGCCTCCAAGGACAAAGTTCTTTGTCTCCACAGATCGTAAGTGCACCACTCACCCTTTTCCCCTCATCAGTTCTATGATTCACCTCATCTTTCATAGACCCATCCGCTGACACGTCCACTCCCAAATATTTGAATACGTTCACCTCCTCCATACTCTCTCCCTCCAATCTGATATTCAATCTTTCATCACCTAATCTTTTTGTTATCCTCATAACCTTACTCTTTCCTGTATTCACTTTTAATTTTCTTCTTTTGCACACCCTACCAAATTCATCCACCAATCTCTCCAACTTCTCTTCAGAATCTCCCAAGAGCACAGTGTCATCAGCAAAGAGCAACTGTGACAACTCCCACTTTATGTGTGATTCTTTATCTTATAACTCCACGCCTCTTGCCAAGACCCTCGCATTTACTTCTCTTACAACTCCAACTATAAATATATTAAACAACCACGGTGACATCACACATCCTTGTCTAATTCCTGCTTTTACTGGGAAATAATTTCCCTCTTTCCTACATACTCTAACTTGAGCCTCACTATCCTCGTAAAAACTCTTCACTGCTTTCAGTAACCTACCTCCTACACCATACACCTGCAACATCTGCCACATTGCCCCCTATCCACCCTGTCATACGCCTTTTCCAAATCCATAAATGCCTCAAAGACCTCTTTAGCCTTATCTAAATACTGTTCACTTATATGTTTCACTGTAAACACCTGGTCCACACACCCCTACCTTTCCTAAAGCCTCCTTGTTCATCTGCTATCCTATTCTCCGTCTTACTCTTAATTCTTTCAATAATAACTCTACCATACACTTTACCAGGTATACTCAACAGACTTATCCCCCTATAATTTTTGCACTCTCTTTTGTCCCCTTTGCCTTTATACAAAGGAACTATGC